CTCAGAAATAGCTACTATGCCTGCAAATTGCATCCAATTATTTCAATAACAAGAATGTTATTTGTTGATTTCCCCACAACAGTGAACAAGAAGACACAAAGCTTCAGATTTTTGAAGCAGGATTAGGAGTTGCACTTGAACTGAACTGCCTAGCCTCTGAATCCATCCAAACCATAAAACCCAATCTGAGTTTCGGACAAAATCTTGTGGTTGATGCACATCCCTGTTATTAACCTCCACACACACACACACACACACACACTCACTCACTCTTGCAGGGAGACCCTTCTGTATTTGGCCCCTGAGCACAGACAGACCCAAGTGGCTTTTGAAGCCGTGCAGTGGAAACTATCTTGACCAAACGGGATTGTGTCTTCTCAGCTTCATCTTCCCCAAATAAGTGAGTGCTTGGCACGTTTGTCAGCCTCACATAACAACAACAACAAAAACTCAACAACTTTTTTGATGTTGTGGGGTTCCTTCGCAGGAGGCTGGACTAGATGACTTCTGAGGTCCTTTCCAACTCCAGGATTCTGAGTCTCGGAATGCAGCTGGATTGTAGCAGCTTTGCCTTCCAGCGGACAATAGAACATCAAGACACAATGGGCCTGTGCGCTGTCAGCTGATTACGAGAGGCGCTCTCTCCCTCTCCCTCCCGTCTTTCTTCCCTGCGTTATCTGGAGACTTTGAGCCGGCAGATCCTGCCTGCACCAGCGCATCCTGACGTCGGGTGCGGCTTGGAAGAGCATGTTGTGTGTTTGATGTCAGGATTACTGGCTGGGTTATTGTAAATGCTAAAATGAAATAAGAAGATTAGGGAAGAAAAGTGCAGCTCGACAGCATATCCCCAGTGATTGCTTTCTGCTCTATCTGCAGCAGATGATCAGCCATGCAGGTATTTAGCAAGCTGCAAATCATCATCCTGGCGGCCAGAGAGGAAGGACACAAAACCAGTTAAAAGGGCTGTGCCTCCTAGAGAGCTATCCCAGCCCAAGCCATCAAAGTGAAGGAGTCAGGGAATTTAGCTAGCATCTCTCAAAAAAGCTTCTCAGTAGAGCCAAATACATATTCATTTGGCTTAAGAGCAAGGGTGTGTTCATCTTGCATTATCTCATTCTGCTAGTTCCCTTGGAGAACCATCCTATCCCAACCCTCTCTTCCCCACCTCCAAATGCATGACAGAAGCCAGGTTCAATCCACAGAATGTCTCCTGGAGAGCCACGGCCAGTCGGGGTAGAAAAAAATCAGCCGGGCAGGCCACTGGTGTGACTTCGTATAACATAGCTTCTACTGAGCTGTGAAGGGAACCACACCCAAAAAAGGGACGGGGCGTCAATTACAGATCAGGCATGTCTCATCATCATCATCATTTCCCATTCTGCCACTAACAGTCCTCCACCTGCTGCAATGTGCAGATGTGGGGGAGGTGGGTGGGGCAGGGGTCTCTCTCCCCCCAGCCCAAAACAGTTCTACCTGCCTCTGCCTATGGAGTGATGCCAGCGTCACTCTTCTGGCACACAGCAGCGACCCACCAAGCCTGTCGAAAGCACACTCTGGGGCATTCTGGCATACCTTCTAGCATTTCCACAATGAAAATAGGGACATCCCATTCCATAATGATAATTCTACTATTTATACCCCAACTGTGTTGCCCCAACTGTGTAGCTTCCAACATATATAAAAACATAATAAAACATTAAGCATTAAAAAAACCTTCCCTATACAGTCATACCTCGGGTTAAATGTGCTTCAGGTTGAGCATTTTCAGGTTATGCTCCATGGCGACCTGGAAGTAATGGAGTGTGTTACTTCTGGGTTTCGCTGCTCACGCATGCGCAGACACTCAAAATGACGTCATGCGCATGTGTAGAAGCGGCGAATCGCGACCCTCAGACACGGGTTGCATTTGCTTCAGGATGCGAACGGGGCTCCGCAACGGATCCCATTCACATCCAGAGGTACCACTGTATAGGATTGCCTTCAGACAGCTCGGGGGTTAGATAACTCCATACCCGCCAATATTTCTCCAACGAAAATAGGGACATTCCAAGGAAAAGTGGGACATTCCCAGATCAAATCAGAAACCAGGATGGCTTCTATAAATCAGGGATGTCCCTGAAAAACAGGGGCACTTGGGGGTTACAGAGACTGGCTCATCTGGTCCCACAGCCACCAGGCCCAAATACCATGCCAGCTCCAGGCTGGCACAGGGGTGCCCGCTCTCCACCTGGCAAGAGCAAGAGGGTTGCAGTGGGAACTATGCAGTTCTGGCACATCCTGCTGCTGCCTGGCCTAAGTTATGATTGCTTTGTTATCCTCTCTGCGCCTTCTGGCTTTGGAGGAACTTGAGCGTTCATTGGAAATAGCTCTTGCCTCCTGCACCAGATTCTGGAAGCCGTGAGCAAAAAAGCCAGCCTGGTTGTGGAGAGGAAGCCAGCTTAGCAAGCTGTCCTTGCACTCTTGCTAGGCTCCATTCCTCTCTGCACCGAATAAATGAGACATCAGGCTTGCTGGGCCCTGCCTGCATCACCGCCTCCTCACAGGTACCTGTCTCACTACCATTATCTCTTACATCTGTTCCCAATCAAAGTGTAATTTAAATCAATTCAGTGAGGACGTTTTCCTTCTCCTGCTAGCAAATGCCATTGTTTTCCCCCCTCCTTTTTGCAAGGAGCAGCAGCCATCAAGAATGGCTGCTAAGTGACTATGTGCCGGCACCAGCTCCACTTAAACACTTGTGGGCAAACCCACAAGCAAACCCAGCTCATTTCCTTGCTGCAGGAGAATGGAGCTGATTACATTTAAATGACAAAGCATCTGGAGTGTTTGAGGATTTCTAGGAATGGGAATGGAAGTCTCCTGCTGAGCACAGCAAAGAGACAAAGGCAGACACTTAGCAGACACTTTTGCTGCCCTGTAAGGTAGCTCCAAGGACTGATAGCTGAGTGCAGGAAGGAGGCAGAATGTCCACCATGGGCTGCCTGAGGTCAGTTTAACATGCAGCAGCCCAGGAGCGCACTGCCTTTGTGATCAAGGAAGGCTTGGGACAGTCTAAACAGGCATAAATCATAGGGCAGGAAGAGGAGCCGAGCTGGGCTTTCAAATGGCATATGCATTCTGCTGCTGGAGAGGAGAGTGCATTTTTGCCAAAGCCTGACATATTAGGTCTTGACCACACAACCTTTTTAAAATCACGAAAGCACTTTTCTGGTCTGACAGTTGCACTGGTACAAATACTGACCTAAGCTCTTACTGTTGATGCTACATCCAAGCCCATGCCATTAGTGCTTTCAGTTTTTCAGTCTGCATATACACTCATAGCAATTCCCAGAATGGCTTCCAGGACTTTCCTGGATCTCATAACACTGGCTGCATATCTAGGGGGGGAAACCAGGTGCATCTCCCAGAAATACTGTCAGAAAGTGGAGACCTTCCACCGTGGCGCATACGTGTCAACAGAGGGGTGACCTAGGTCAAGCAGCCCACCCACTTTTGCTAGCTGTGCCCTTCAGCTCACAGCTCCAGGCCCCAAAAGGCTGAGGCTGCAGGCTCAGGAGAAGCTACGGGGGTTCCCCTCTCCCTCGCGCTCCTTCCCGTGGCCGCGACGTCCCGGAAGCTCGAAAAAAAAAAAAGATACTCAATTTAACATAAACAGCTTCGAATACAACATATGATATTTGATGCTCATTGTGCGCCTCTCTCTCCAAGTTGTACCAGGACAAATGTCACTATCATCTAACAGTTGTTACTGTTACAAAAGTTGGGTGTCTCCCCCTCTCTCTGCCAAGTGGCAGCAAGAGTCCATGGGGTTCCAGGCACTTAAGCAGGCTCTGTACTCCTTTGGAGAATTGAGACATGTTGTAGCTTTAAGAAATGTGATTTATTCACCTATTTACACCTTCAGTCTGCATGCAGGGAGCCCAGATCTCACAGCATGGTCATTTCAAGAGGGGCTTGTGCAGCCATGGAGTCCAAGGCATCTCTCCCAGCCAGCCTTCCTTAGATGGATCCCAGTCTTCTTCCTTCTTATTCCCAGAACCCCTTGCTCAAAAACTCTCTTTTCCTGTCACCTCAAACACACACCCCCCATCACCTTGGCAACATCTGTCTCCCCAGGCCAAATGATTCTTATCCCCTTTTGTGGTTGATGGATCCCCCAGTGTGGTATAGTGGTTAAGAGCAGTAGACTCGTAATCTGGTGAACTGGGTTTGCTTCCCCGCTCCTCCACATGCAGCTGCTGGGTGACCTTGGGCTAGTCACACTTCTCTGAAGTCTCTCAGCCTCACTCACCTCACAGAGTGTTTGTTGTGGGGGAGGAAGGGAAAGGAGATTGTTAGCTGCTTTTAGACTCCTTTTGGTAGTGATAAAGCGGGATATCAAATCCAAACTCCTCCTCCTCCTCCTCCTCTTCTTCTTCTTCTTCTGTCATGTTAACAGATTTGCTCTTTGCATAAGCCAGTCCAGGGATTCCTTGTCTGGCACAGTTATGCAGCTTGTACTTTCATCCATATCCCAATCAATCAAAATCTGACCATCTTATCAATTTCTACGGTTTAGGGTGGTCCCCCCCCCCCACCAAATCTGTAACATTACTTTTCTGGGCTCTTTCTCCACCTACCACAACCCGAATAAGCACACATATCTGTGATGGGGGACGGTATCCTGTGACTTCCAGAGAGGCTGGAGTTTGGCATCTGCTCTCAGAAATGATGTGCCGGTTTTGACTTCTGTGCCTTTTACCAGTAATGGGTTCATCTCATTATGAAACTGCCCCCTTCCATCCCACCCCTGTACCCCACCCAGCCAAATAGCCACCTCTATTCTCTTATGGGGATTCTGTTGCCGCACACTAATTATGGTGCAGTAATTGTGTGTAAACATGTTCCCAGCTGTGAAGGTTTGGTGGGAATTGAAACTTGAGAGTTCAAGCAAGAGCTTAGCAACTGTTGCTATGGCTGAATTGTTCTCTGCCTAAAAGGATCTTGCTAAGCGGAGCTGACCCAGAGGCTGGGGCCCTGTCCCCCAGAAATGCCACAGACCTCCTCTGGTCCTTGCATGGCACCCATGGCACTCCCTGCTTCCTTTACTACACAGAGGTACCATTCACAGCGGATTCATCCCGGAGGGTGCCATTCTGGAGAATTGTGCTCAAGCGTCTTGTTGGAAGTCTACCATGAGGGAAAGGCTTTCCATAGCAAGATGCCGGGCAAAGGGGCAAGATGGGCAGCAGGGTTAAGCGCTTGCCCCTCTGCAGGGTTAAGGAGAGCTTAGGGAACTATGCTACTGATACCAGGAGCAGTGGCAAAGCTGCATGCTCTGCTACCAGGGGCGGAGAGCAGACAGGGGCATGGCTGGTGCCCCCCAGGGCGTGGCGCCCAGTACACAAGAGGGTGCACAGCACGTGTCCAGAGGGCGCTGCGATGGCACTCTACCGGAATAGTGGTGCCAGGGGCGGTCCTCTCCCTCCGCACTCCCGTTCCTCCACCAGTGACCAGACCTTTTCTCTTTTTTTTAACCAGGGATTCCTGCATTGGGGAAATGACTTGAGCTGCTGTGAGCATCCTTTTCTTATGTCAATGGCTTCTGCCAACTAACTCCAATCAGGATCTATGTTCTGCCAGGCTCCACCCTGCTGGTTCTACCTGGGCTCCACCCTGGGGGCCAGAATTTTAAATGTTTAAAATGTGCAGCTCTAGTTATACTAACAGAATTGATTTGGGGTTATCTGCTTTTTTAAAAAATTCAATGGCTGCACACACACACACACACACACACACACACACACTTGCTTAGGTCCTGCGACTGAGAGATGTCCGCAGAGGGGCTTCAGGGGAAGAGCACTTTGCGGGAACGGGCTGTGTGAATCCCGGGGGCCCTGCGTGTAACACCCTCTCCCACACAGAGCGAGAGGCATCTCCCAGGAATGCGGCCTTTCTGCCCGGCTTCAGGCCAAGAGCTTTGCTTCCCTGTCCGCGCTCACTTATCCTGGGATCAGCTCTTTTCCCAGGCCGCTCTGCGTCCTTTCTCAGGCTGCTGCTCCGGGCTGGAGTGAGCACAGGGCGGGGTGCCAGCAGGCTGCAGAGCCAGACTGCCTTGCGTCAGATAGCATTGCAGCGCCACCAAGCATCGATCTTCTGCAGCAGCAGCAGCAGCAGCAGCCAGCCTGTCCGCGCGATAGTGGCGGGAGGGAAGGGGGCGTGCGAAATAAGTCTGTCCGGGGCTCTGCGCGCTGTCTTCTCCCTCTCCTGCCGCTCGCTCACATGTCTTCCATCCAGCACCCCTCCTCCCCCCGCCCCCCCGCCAGGGAAGTGTGTGCAAAGTGTGAAATAATGAGGTTTGGAAAGGTCAGGGAACTTGGCGGAGGCAGCGTTGTTTCTGTAAATGTTATTTTCTAGCTCACTGCCCTGTAACTCTCTCCGACTGTTGTGCTTAAGTAAAACAAACAGTGCATTTTAATCACATGCACACGGCAGCTTAGAGACACTTAACTCACCTTCCCATTCGCAGCTGCAACTCCCCCTCCACGCCGGCGCTGCACCCGGAAAGCACCAGCCTCCCCACTCCTCGCTTTCAAGGCACCTTTGAGGCGGGGAGGGGGGACACGCCGATTATGGGTTTTGACAGCGGGGAGGGGGATCTACAGGCAGCTGCCTCTGCCCAAAGGCAACAAAATGGAGTGAAATCTCTCTCGCTGCTGCCAGAATGAAGTCTACCCCGGGCGCAGGATTGCAGGGAGCTAAAGCTACTCGATTCCTGGGGTGGCTGTCGGTGAACTTGCCAGACGATTAAACCCACGTGTGGCAGTCTTGGCAAGGGCCTGTCATTCACCTTCCCACACACGCCCCTGCGCACCTCGCCCGTTCGTGCCCCACACATTTACGCGCAGAGACCACCGCACATTTTCTGCTTTTCGTGCAGAAGGTCTCCATTTAATTGCCTGACAGTTCCAGGGGCCGTAACGTAAGCTCAGTGGTACAGAGCCCATGCCTAGCACGCAGACGATCCCAAGCTCTGTCAACAGTTTAACGTGACTCCAGCAGCAACGCTGGGAGGAAAGACCCCTGCGGAGACCCGGGACAGGCAGCGTCATTTGTTCTTCACAGCTGTTACATTCAACAGTGGGCTGTGCGCAGACCATGCATTTAAAGCACACGTGCAAACACAATAATCCTGGGAATGGTCATTTACCCTTCATAAAGCCGTAATTCCCAGCACCCTTAGCAAACTACAGTTCCCAGGATTCAGGTGTGCATGCATGCATGCCTTGAGTGTATGGCATGTACCCATTGTGCTGAAGGTGACACAGAAATGGCAGATCCCTGTTAAATGGATTTACTATCTTAGAGGGATGCCAATCACATCATTAAAAGTCGTGCAGGTACCACCATCTGGCTGTGGTGGATTCCTCTGGCCTGTGCTTGTGCCTCCAGTAACACACCTCCCCCAGTTACCGAAGCTGTGTGTTGCCATCTTACGATTTATTTAAAATAAAATCTCAGCCTGATGCATATGGGATGGAGACAATCCAGCCTTCATCTTGCAGGTTTGCATATCCTTTAACAATAGTTCTGAAAAATCCACAGTAACCACTGTTAATTTATTCTAACAATACAGTTGTACCTTGGTTCTCGAACAGAATGCGTTCCGGGAGTCCGTTAGACTCCCAGAACCGTTCAAAAACAAGGCGCGGCTTCCAATTGGCTGCAGGTGCAACTATATTTGTTAAGGACACGGAGAGTTGTTAGAAAACCCTTTAACAAACCACAAGTCCCAGGATTCCTTGAGGAAAGCAATGGCTTTGAAAGAGGTCTGAGTGTGCTTTAAATGTGTGGCGTGGACACGACTTGACACAAGGCAGGATAAAAGTGACAGAGAAAGTGTCTGACAATGCCGTTGGTAATTTATTTTGCTAAATAAAATGAGTTTAGGATGATCCTGGAAAATCTCCAGAATGCACCAAATGAATGTTTATGAGCTGCCAAATAAAAAATTAAAAAATCCTATGCAGAAACACAAAACTAGAGAAATGCCACACCTACTGTGAAAGGAAAACACAACTTTTGCATATTGCCAACCACTGCTCCTGCGCATGTAAACATGCTCCCAGTTCTGACCCTTCCCCTCTTCCTCTCAACCCCTTCCTCCATAGCATCAGATTATACTCCCAACTTGGACTCTTTCCCTACTTCTACCCGGCTTTGTGGTAAATACATTTAGTAAGATTTACAAGGGGCTGCAGAGAGATCTAGCTCTATTTTTAGGTGTGGTTTATGGATTTATCAAGCAGTGCAGTCAGATTAAAATGAAAAGTCCTGGGTCAATAAGCTGTGCTGGGCTCCCATCCTCTGCTCAGTGGCTCATGTGAGGGTTGGGGTGAGGATGCTCTCTGGAAATTGCCTACACTCACCTAACCAGGATCTTTGCACATCCCCGCTCCCCACTGCTCTGCCCAGAGCCAGCTATGGAAGTAGGGAGAGTGAAGGCGGAAGCAGAGGACATGAGAGTGCGATTTGGTTAATGCAGCAAGGAGGCTCCATGGTCGCTGGGTCTAAGCTCAAAGAGAGATAACACTGAGTACACAACTCATCCCGTTTGTTGGGTCATTGCCATAGTTCTCTCACCAGCATACAACTGATGCAGCTCATGAATACACTTATTTAAGGATTCCACTTCATCTTTCAAACAGACATTTCCCCAAAGCAGCTTATAATTGTGTGCACACACATACACCATCTATTTTTTCCACACTAAGGATAGTGTAAAGCAGATCTCAGTCCAGACCAATACGGCAGTATTTTAGCTTAAAGCAGTTATTGTTTAAAACACAAAGGCCAATTGAACTAAAAAGGTATTGAAGACCCACTCAAAAGTAAACTAGCCTACAAGTAAGTACCTTCTTTGGAGTTGGGGGCAAAGTTCCATAGATCCAGGCCATCTCTTGTGTCCACCAAACTTTAATTATTATAATAATTATTATAATCTCCCTTCCACAAACATGTTAATGTTAAACAGCCAAACTCTTATTATTTATTAAACTGCTTGGCCTTAATGGTGAGCCTGTGAGCAGAGCCTCAGGCACAGCCTATCTTAAGATGTTACCAGACTTGCTAGGAGACCACTGCAAACATCGGCACCTACAGGTATATTCCACATGCATTTACCAAGAGGCTAATTTGGGGAAATTAGCATCTCCTTTACCGAAGACCACTGTGCACGCATACAAGCACAGAGAGAATTGCAAAGATGTTGTTGTTTAGTCGCGTCCGCCTCTTCGTGACCCCATGGACCAGAGCACGCCAGGCACTCCTGTCTTCCACTGCCTCCCGCAGTTTAGCCAAACTCATGCTGGTAGCTTCGAGAACACTGTCCCACCATCCCGTCCTCTGTCGTCCCCTTCTCCTTGTGCCCTCCTCTTTCCCAACATCAGGGTCTTTTCCAGGGAGTCTTCTCTTCTCATGATTTGGCCAAAGTATTGGAGCCTCAGCTTCAGGATCTGTCCTTCCAGTGAGCACTCAGGGCTGATTTCCTTCAGAATGGAGAGGTTTGATCTTCTTGCAGTCCATGGGACTCTCAAGAGTCTCCTCCAGCATCAATTCAATTCTCTGCAGCTCGAAATGCCCACTAGAGAAAAAATATAGTGAAGAATGGGTTAATAATGCATTTCCTGAACCTTTTACAGTACTAATTGCTGTTACTGAGACAGAGGAAAGAGACTAAAGGCAGAGAATCGCCAAATAAGGAGCTGTGAGGCTGCAACTGAAAGGCACAGCTTTGCTGTGGGGGAAAGTGAAAGAGCCAGGAAGGGGAAGAAGTTGCCTTTCAGAGGGTTGGATTAGAAGACCCAACTCTACAATTCTATGATGATTCTGGGAAGTTGGATACAAATCTGTTGTTCTGTCTTGCAAAAAACCAGACTGGAGTGGAAAAGAAAACACAGGAAATGGGAGAACATCGGAAGAGTGAGAGTGCAAATATTACCTGAAAGCACAGGGGAAACTTTCTGAATTTCTTCACTGTAACTTACAAGGGGGTTGCTGGAGACTGATTTAGGAGCACCATGTCTCCTGTCATTTGTGAAACCTAAGCCATCTGCTGGTATGCCAAGGAGACAAGTGAATTCCTCTTTCCAAGAGTTTCCTTTTAGTCTATCCTTCAATACCTCTTAACCCTTCAAGTGTGGTTCAGAAACACAAGAAATCTTTCTCTCATACAGAGTTCCAGCTGAAGTGCGCATTTCCTTAACAAAGGCTCAGGCATGTTCAGATAACCTGCCCTCAAATAATTTGGGGCTTGAAAGGCCAGTACAAGCAGATTGGTAACCAATGCAACTGATATAAAATCAGTGCAATGTGCTCTGAACATCTGCCCCACCACCACCACCACCACCACCACCGCATCCATGTGGCTACATTTTGAACTGACTGGAAGCTTCCAAACAATCTTCATTTAAACAAAAAGAAAGGGGAAACAAGCCAATTCAGGCACTGATATAACCAAGTTCTTCTAATCAGCTGGGATTTAAGCAGTTTAGGGAGGAGGGGGGACTAAAAGGTGCTAGTCTCCCAACAGCACTAAAGAAAAAACAGCTCCAAATGAAGTACATTGCAATAATCTAACTTGGGTGTAACTGGGGCATGAAGCAAGGGCTGCTGTTTCCATCTAGAGTCATAATAGCCTAAGCTGTTGAAGGGTT